GTCGAACGCTGCCGAACGCGGAGGCCGATTGTGCCTCTTTGTCGCTCGTTCCGCGCTCTCGCTTGCACTTCAATTCTTAAATGGAACGCCTCAGAGCGAGGTAACGCCGCATGAGTCATGTTTTTTCGTGCGTGCAGCCGGCTCCATCGAATTATAAGACGTTGTCACGTCAAAAAAAGAGAAATTGAAAAAAACTTAATAAATTTTTAAAACAAGAGCAAAGACCGAGGCAAAGACAAACGCAAATTTCCTCCTAACTTCTTAAATTTATTTAAAAACTAGTATTGTTAAAATTTTTGCACTTTCCTTTCTAAACCAGGCCATTTAGTTACATCGCACCCCGGGCCAAAATCTTCAGCCCGGCTCTGACAGCGATAGTGGAATATTATAAAAGGTTTTCTTTTTAGTTGATTTATCAGTAAAAAATATGGGTAGGTACCCATTTGCAAGATTGCACGTGGACTAATTTTATTGAACGACATACGTTCTCTGTGGGGTTACAACGAAGGCAATGGAAAGGATACAATAATACTACGGGTTTGATAAATGCTTGCCCTATTTGCCCTACTCGTTGGAACAGAGGCAGATTAAATGTCGAGAGCGCTCTAGGCTAGCACCTCATAGGCGCCCCTCTGGCGGTCATATATTTTGCAAAATACTTTTTTTGTTATTAGGTACTTCCTTACTTTTTTTTTAGGTTTAAAAACTTCCGCGCGCGCCCCTTTTTAACCTTGCGCCCCTAGGCATATGCCTACTTTGCCTTATGGATAATCCACCACTGGGTTTAATTACATGATCATAACATTACTTCTTTTTAATAAGACACTAAGCAATAGCATTTTATTTATTATAACTTCGTTTTAAGTTTCGTTATTTAGAAGAAGTGGCTGATTTTAGATATCTAGGAAATCAGATAAGTCAGGACGGAAGGAGTAGTAGGGATATAAAGCAGGGTTGTGTCGCCTTTAATTAAAAGAAGTTACTTCTATGTTCGCGAACGGTTAATTTAGAAATTCCAAAAAGATTGTTAAAAATGTATGTTTGGAGCGCGGCGTTGTAGGGGTGCGAAATATGAACAGTGGGCGCGGCGAAAAAGAAAAGGTTAGAAGCGTTAGAAATGTGGTGTTATAGGCGAATGATTAGGATAACGTGGGTAGAAAAGGTTAGAAATGAAGAGATATTAGAAAGAATAAGAGAAAAGAGGACTCTATGGAAGTCAATAAGAAATAGGTGAGATAGGTTGGTAGGACACCTTCTCAGACATGAAGGTCTAGTCAGAAGCATATTAGAGGCAGAAACGTGAGTTAGGAGGGGTAGAGGTAGACCTAGATTAGATTACTGTTCGCAAATAGTTAAGGATGTGGGTTGTTCTAGTTTTAGGGAAATGAGAAGTTTAGCTCAGGATAGGAAAGGTGGAGGTTCGTGACCAACCAGTCTTAGGACTGGCGACCTTATGATGATGACGATGAAGAATATTAAACTCCTCTAGATCCTAAGCAAAACATAATGACGAGGATAGTTTTCTTTTAATACCACAATGTTCCACGGTTTCTATGAAAATAAAATAAAACTCGTCAAATAAGTTCCTGTATATCTCTAATGCATTTTCTTCTGATTTGTCGCAAGCCTCACGAATGAAAAGCTATCCGTAGCACTTATATGTTTAGCTTTTTATTTCATTTTATTGACGTTTTTGATCCAACAACTTTCGCTCTTGATATAGTCACCGGTAGAATCAATACATTTGAAAGCTGTACCATATATTGAGACAGGGTTCTTTCAAAGGACAGAATTATTGTATACATTTATATGTCGTAATAAAGAAAACCCTCTTTAGAAATGCGTTTGAATTTGGGTCTCTATCTCTATATACTAGCTTCAAACGACCGCTACGAAAATGTCCCTTGGAGGTTTCCTTTTTTTACTTTACAATTAATTAAGATTTAGATTAAAATGTTGCAAGTTAGTAATTCAATTTCATGTTGTTATAAAATAGTATTAATTATCACGAAACTGTGCTTTTTCATGAAGAAATTCCAAAAAGAAGAACATATTTTCGTTATTAACGATAGTTCGTTAGTGGCTTCAGTGGGACAGGATTCGTGAATGCTTTTTGAGTCAACTATTTCCATTTATACAATGTTTTTTTTATGGTAGCAGATTAAGTGTTAAAAATTTGTAAAAATTAATCTTAAGAACAGTACTTTTCAAAAAATAGAACCACTATTTATATTTTGTGAATTTCATAATATGATAAACATGATATGATCTTAAGGAGTAAATAATATACATAGTGGAACGAATTTTCTAACTTTTATTTATTTAGAGACCCTTTGTATACAGTGGCGTATTAGAGTGCCGCCCCGAGTTATTTAAATCTGATCGCAACCTCTATTAGCATATCTTTAGTACTTGCCATCTACATTGGTATTACTTTATAAAAAACAACACATTTGTTAGAAATGCACTTGTTTGGATTTAATTTATAACGAATTTAGTCGCATTTGGACTGTAGTGTAGGCGAGCTTGCGGTTTAGCTTTCATTAAAAAAAAAAAAAATTCTCCGTTGACAAATAAAAAGAAAATAGCAGACATAAGTGTGTATATTTCTGGAAAAACATTTCACAAGTTTTATGAGAAAAACATTCAAAAACCTGTGGATCGAAACACCCTGTTGTAAGCATGCCAACCCTCAACCTGTCAGAATACATACAGAAGGTTTTAGCTATGATCGAATATAGACGTTTAGACACGCTTAATAGGTTAAAGTTCGTGATTTTAAATTAAAACTTTCTGTTAAACGACAATTCCTAGATATCAAAAGTAGGCCTAAGGTGAATTCCATCTTTTACTTAGATGTTTCATATAATCGTCAGCTAATTCCCGTGTCGTATCATGAGAGGATATACCTGCACCAATTTCCATTACAAACATAAATACGACATGACATTATCTCATATTATAGGGACGATAATTCTATTGTCGCCTTAGTTTTACAAATGATGAGAAAGCACAAACGTTAAGCTCTTTAATTTTATGTCCACTGGACTCGATAACCATTTACATTTTAATGAAAATAATGGACGTTTAGATTGCTCAGGTTTAATATGAGGTCGCGGCCTTACCGTGCTGTAGGTCTTCTTATTTTCCCACTCAACCCGTTCTACGTCGACTAGCTTAATTTTGAAAAGGAACTGGCCCATTTCGGAGATTCGATCCGCGCCAGAAGCACGTCTGAAACAGTGCAGGTAATCCCTGGTCAAAATGAAGTAACGCTCTTTCCATCTGCTAAATAGCTTGTCCCTTTGTTGCCACAATAAACCCTTTTTAATGGCGTGAGTGGACTCTTTGTCATACGTGGATGAAGACAATAGCGACTGGAACAAGAAAAACAAAGCACTTTCAGTTTAATGGAATAAAACAGAATGTTTTAAGGGCACCATACATTTATTAACAGCAATAGTTACTGCTTAACACACCATAATATAACACGTAAGGGTGTCTATATAGTTTTATTACTATTTTCAAATAACTGTACAGTAGAAACTCGATTAACCGGACTAATTGTTGTCGTTAGGCATTCGGATAATCGAAAATCCGGATAATCGAATGTATGAAAAATAGCGAGTTTTATGCATAATAATATGTAGTACTTACATAATGTTATGTGTCAATTAAAAATAACAATTAAATACGAAAATCAATGTTTATTAAGAGATAAATCCTACATACATTGTACATGTACTAAAATAATTTTACCTTAATCATGAAATTAAATATTTAGGTACATATTATGTACGTATAATTTCTTAACAATATGTATTTGGTAATTTGCCTTTGGTAATCAGGAAATATATAAGTTTAATTTGGTTTAAAATATTTGTTAATTGTCATTTGACGTAAGCCACTTTTTCTTTTAATTGCTGCTATATCACGAATTCGTTTAAGCTGCAGTAAACTCACAGTATCACTCTCTGTTTGTTTTTCAAACCACTTGAGAGCTGTTTCCAGGGCATGAAGTGCTTCATCATGAGATGGTCCTGCATCATTTTCCACATCTAGATTTTCTTCTGTTTCATCTTCTTGCATTTCTTGCTGTTTATTTATCTGCATTACGTTTTCTACGATTTCGTCATCTGACATAATCTGAAAGCACGTGCGGGGCAATGCCAGTTCGGACACGTTCATGCTTGCACAAATTTGACAAAATCGACTTGTAGTTATTTTAATATTTTGGTCGGGGTCGGTAGTCCGGATAATCGCGAATCCGTATAACTGAGGGCCGGATAATCGAGTTTCTACTGTATTTAATTTAGTGATCAAAAATATTTTGTTGGCAAAAAATTAGATTTTTTTGGAAAAAACAAACATATTATTGTATCATCAACTTATCTACCCCAAATTTCCATACAATTTGTGGGTGTAAGCGCACACTATCCTCATCGCACACTCGATTTGTAGATTTGTAGGTCGTCGTCTAAATTGGAAGTCTCATAAACTTAATAATACCAATAAGCTGATGGAATTTTATTTTGAATTACCTACACGTTGTACAAAGAAACATTCTTTGAAGACAACTACTATTGTTATAAAGTAAATGGATGCATAGAAATGTAGTTGGAGGAATTTTTTAAAAAAAGGCATACCTTTCTGTAAGCAGAATTGTTGTTTAAAGTTCGCTAAAAATGCAGGTAAAGTTCTTATTTCTCTAGGAACATTCAAGCTCGTTCTAGTCGCGCTTACATCTAACAATCCGTCACCAGCGAGGGCTGTTTGCCCCTTTTTTTCTCATGAATAATGAACAGCAGTTCATTCGGAGACACTTGAAAATAATGTTTGTAGTTTCGCAATGTGTTAAAAATGCAAAGAGTTCGCGATAAATTTTTACGCCTTTAAATTTCCTTCTGTCGTGCATAAATCACGCAGCATGGGATTATGAAGTATGATGTAAAGAGCGCGGTAACGAATAACGATACCATCGGAGTGAATAAGAGAGGGATTATTGAGGTTGCATGAAAATCGAATATTATTTACGGCGGAACCATAGTCACAAGCAATTACTTTATGAGGTAAGCAGTAAGACCATGGTAGGAAAACGGAAATGAAGAGGGCAGCTGTCCGTTCTTCCCAGACCAACCAACGAAAATGTTTTTTATTACTTGTTGTGGTTTATTATACAGTAAAAGTTTCTTATTCTGAATTTTTCTGAAAACATGGGTTTCTATTCTAAACATTGTGATTTAACGCTGCGAGATAAATATGTGATTTTTTGTATGGTAGCGAACAAAGGCTCATACTAACTCGGTACGTTTTTGGTTTTCAGTAATATGGTCATTAACAGCTTTCACAAGTGCTTAAAGTTGATGCTTCTTGTAGGACACGTATTTTCCATAGAAATAAAAAAATAAAAAACGGCCTTCGACAGGCTTTAGAACAAAGCTTTATCTATCTTACTACAAAATTTCAAACCTTTGTTCCAAACATTAAACTAATGATATCTAGGACCGATAAGCATGCACTACTGAATCTCATGCACTACTGAATCTCCTGAATGTATCGGCATCTTTTGAGTATGTACTGTTGGTACGTGTCGAGGCAGCTTTTATAAATAAAAGAGGTAACCGAGTTCAAAATTCAAAACAAGAAAAAATCACTAAATTTTTTAAACCCTTGTCTAAAGGTGATTATAACGATTAATTTTAATTGCGAATTTCTCAATAAATTGATTTTATTCTGATACATATTGGTTTTATTTTGGAACTTTAGAACGTATCCCCTATGATTCCATAGTAATTACCATTCCATATCTACGGTTTCTGTACTCGCGGCATATTTATGGAACGTATACCCCGCGAATAAAGAGCTTTTACTGTATA